CTGCGAATTTTTTCCAAGCCCAGCTGCTGTTGACCAGACTTGAAATTTATAGTCAACGGAAAAGCGACCAAATAAAATAACATTGACAATTGGAAATTTAATTTAAAAGTCTTAACAATACAATTGATTTAGGGTTGCCTTGAAAATGTTCCCTTACCAAACTGCCGATGGGCCTTCGGACTGCCAACCTCCGACCCCATAATAAATTGCAGTTGCATTAATCCGACGCAGCCAAAGACAAAAAAAGAGAGAGAGAGGAAAAGAGTACTAGGGGGAGGGAAAGAGAAGTCTGCACTGCGAAATCTGTTGTCATAGGTTAGTCGCTTTCATTCTCATTCCCGCCAACGCTCCTAACAAACATGACCAGGTCATGACGTGCCCGGCGTGCAAAAGTGTGAGTGTGTGTCTGTGTGCTTGTGTATTTCTGTGTTTGCCAGCTGAACGTGTTTTGGTATGGTGCCTGCGGCTGAAGGTCCTTGGAATGAGCCGCGAAGCACTGCAGCAACTGTTACTTTTGTGGAATGCTTAATTCATGTGTGCAAATGCGGTTCAAACGTTTATGATGTGGCTGCTGCTGCTGCGCTGCTTTGCTACTGCTACTGCAGCAGGCATCATCCTTGTCGTTGTCGCTTGCATTGTTTGCCTCGCCGTCACACGACGTATGCGTAATGAGCTTTTATCCTCCGCCGTACAGTATGTGTTTTCGAGAGTGGGCATTTGTCTCACAATTAGGTATTCCAGCTATGGAGCCTGCCGTGCGACAAGCCAGCGTGATTGCAACTTCCTCGCTCACTAGCGCTCTTTCACACTCTTTTGTTTTGCATTCATCTGTACTAATTGAAAGCTTAAGGCGGCGACTGTAAGTATTTAATAATTGGCGATTTTAATTAGTTCGTGTTTTGTTCTATATTAAACTGAACTAGTGTTAAGTTGATCGATGATAAGCATACAGAGTATTTCTAGCTTATTAATATTTTGTTATCTGACATAGCTCAGCTCATTGAGTGGGTTGATGTTTCTGTTTACGCAATAGATATAAAAATTCCCTTTGGTTTATGATTGGTCTGCGATTCAGTTCAGTGACAACTTAAATGGAAATTTTAATAAGCGTAAGGACACAACTCTGGTAAGAGGTATTTTAAATTCAAGTGCTCGTGCGTCGACAGTTTCTGTGAATTGTCTGAATTAGCTACATACACGCATATATAACAGTGGACCGCACTGTCAAAGTCTCTTGCTCGCGCTTAGAACAAAGGGCATAAACTCAAATTGTATAAACCAACTTAGAACTAACAAAGGAAATACATTAAGCAACTGTAGAACTACTTCATGAAATATTCAGATCAAATATGAAACTCTTTTTGAAATGAAAATGAAAACTCAGTTTCGGTGGCAGAGTGTAGAGGTATCCTAGAGTCAAATTTTGTGTTTGCAATTCAAGTGATCGTCAAGATGTGCCTTAAAAATTAAGATGGATGGATGAGATATCAATAAAATAGAAATAGAATGAATAAGTTGTAATAGCATTTGGCTTATATGAATTGGATTGCCTGAGCCCTTCTATTGACCCCAACAGACGTTGCTTACGCCTTGCTGTCTATGATCACACTCTTCTCAGTCTCATTGTTGATAGGCGCGAATTAACACTATAAAGAGCAGATGAACACAACAGGGAAAGCTGTCGCGGGGGTCGATTTGACTATTTGTATTTATTACATTTAATGAAATGGACAAATTCCATTTCTTAATTTGCTACAATATTTGTTGTTATTGGATGTTTGCATGAAATTAAATTAAATGCTAATTACCAAAGCAAATATATATGCAAATGGTATCAAATTATATGGAAGCGTAAATTGAGTTTATTACTCTAAAATATTCCAGGGCTTAATATCTGCATGCGAAATGTATATATATACGCCTAAGTATCTTTGTATTTGTAATCTCTCCGCTTCGCAGTTGTTGTTAGTGTTGTTGTTGTTGTTGCCATTGTTAGATATCAATATTTAAAAAGAGAAATTAATTTGGTTAGATAATTAGGTAGTTGGCCTTTTGCTAGTGAAATTTATTTGTTCAAATGCGCCTATGAAATACGATTGTATTATTAAAATTTCGCTTTTCCATAAAACACACTCGATGGCTGCTCATTAATATTGCTTTATGGAACTTAAAATACAGAATATACAATTATATTGCAATGATCCATAAATTGATTGAATTTACCGCGCAGCGTGAAAAAAACCACATTATAATATTAAAATCAAATTTGATGCATAAATATGTTTATTTCATTTTGATTGCTATTTCCCGGTTGTTACACTAACGAAGTACCATTGTTGCCAGGCAGAAGCGCACCATACCTTTACGGATATGTACATGTATGTATTTTTACATATATCTGTGTGTGTGTACATTCACAGACACTGGGACAAACTTACCTAGCCGCGAGTTTAATGATGATTTGTCAGCAGATTGCACGTAGCCGGCCCGAACAATATGCAATATATGTAAATTTCGTGCAAAAATTTCATTTGCCAAATTCAGCAAATGCAATTATGTATGTATGTATATATGTTATGAGTATATATAGATGTACAAATATAGGTTTTACTACAAGAGCAAAAGTTAAAGTGTTTGATAACATAAAATATTCATGGCATGCAATATAAATTGCTCGTGGGCCGCCAATTGTTCAGACAACCAGAAATAAATGTGTTTTAAGCGCTAACGAAGCAATTGTGCTTGAAGCTCGCATTGCACACAGGGAAAATAACTTGAATCGATACAGTTGAATCTATATGCCACTAAGGGTCGAAACTTAAATGGTCATGACATTGCCCGAACTTTCATTGGTCATCAAATATGCCCGAGACATTTTCATTTTATTTTTAAGAGCCGAGCACGAGGAGGAGAGCTTGGTCCTGCCTGGCAGATAGTAAAGATAGCGACTGGTGCTGTGGTATACATTGATTATGCCAATTAATTTCGTTAGCTTTCACTGGATTTTTGCTTGTGCTGGAGCAATTAAATACATTTTCCGCCCACCATTATGTATATTTTTGTGCGCTTGGTATCGGTATCTAGTGGGTTTCATTTAATTAATTAAGTTTTCATTAAAATTGAATGTTGGTGGAGAACAAATAGTTTAATTTTATAAAATCACTAAAAATATATAAAAGAAAATATTGAATTCTTTTGAGAACAGCAACAAACAACAAACATAAATCGAAATGAAGCCGTGCCACGTGCGCGTTTTGTGCGCGTTTCTGGCGCGTTTTTTGTGGATTGTGCTTTCGATGAATAAAAGTGAAGCATACTCTTAGGCGCCGTTAATAAAAATGCTTGTGAAGACCATTCGAAATGAAAATGTTGCCGTTGAAAAATGAAAGCATTTTGGCCAGAATATAAGGCCGCCGTCGAACCGCTTAACTCCACAGTTTGCGGGCGTTTGCACTAATGTGCAATTAAAATCAAATGTATTTAATATATATATATATATTTATATATATATATATCACTGGGTATATACGTGGCAGCGGCATTTAAGCGCTGCACTTTGCGAAAAAGTCATTAAAAGATAAAATCACAAAATCAATTAGCCAGAAACTTTAGCTGCCTGCGCCTGTGCTTGGCTCTGCGAGGTGCTGCGAGCGCAGCCTGGGCGACGGCCAGCCTGCCCATAAATTGCAACACTTTTATCGCCGTCCCCGGTTCGGCTGCTGTTGTCCTTGTGTCCGGGTGCCGCCTATTTTTGTTGCTGCTTGCTGGTTGCTGCTTTGGACGATTGCGTTGCACAGTTGCAGCTTCCGATTTCCGTTTCCGCTTTGCGGTGCCGCCTTGTAGCTGCCTCGGTGTTTGGTTTTTATTTGCCGCGCGCTCGGCTGCTTGCATAAGTGGGCAAAAGTCAGTTTTTCGCCTTGGCTTCGCAGTTGTCCGTAGTGGATATTTGCTTTTTGGCAAACGCAGTTTTTTCATTACTTTCAACTGGCCCGCGGCCAAGTAGCCGCCCTGGCAAATGGCAAATGGTAAATGGTAAATGGCAAATGCATTTTCTGCCTCTGTGTGCTGACGGGCGGACTGCTTGCGCCCTTTCACCCAGCCACGAAGTGTGCTCAGCTCGTTTTCTTCTCTGCTTTGGCACTGGCCACGCCCTTAAGCAAATATATATCGCAATTTGAAATATGCTTAAGCAATTGAAACGAAAAATGATTTATGCAACAGCATTAAATCGAATATCTGTGCACTCAAAAAGGGAGTGCGCCTGATATACGGCCAAATGATGAGTCTATTGGCAAGAATACAAGTCCACAAAAAGAAAAGTATTCGCACTGCAGTTACGCAATATGCTCTGATAATTAAAATGTTATTTAATTGGGCTTTAGGCAAGTGGGAGGGAACACATTGAGATAGACAGACAGAGAGAATAAAGAAAGGCAGCAACATTTATTCGATAAGCTCATTGAATTTCTGGCTTTATTCACGAAGAACTCTTCCATCCTCGTCTTAGATATCTTATATTAATTAATAACAAAGAGTTTAATATGTCAGTCCAAATGTAGGTCTGCCTCAAATGCAAATGCAATGCAATTTTAAAGACGTTTATATATATTTTAGTTAAATATTATATAGAATTGTGAGAAAAGCTGAAAGCTCACAGTTGAACAGCAGGCATTGGTAATATATTCTGTAAAATATTTATAGAAGAGCTTACCACTGCTATTTCGGTTCCTTTCCTCGATCATAAGAATCATAAGTAGGCTGATTCTGCGCTAATATATAGCCACATTTATTATAATAATAACTCCACAAAAATGCCCAATATGTCAGTAACTTACACACGCTTTATCGAGTATCTATGCTGTTTTATTTAAATGCAATATTTCATTTTTACAATATTTAAATTGTGTTTTTTTATAGATAATGTTTACTTATATTTAGAGTTGATATTCAAAGTGCTATTGCAGCTGTATTCCTTTTTAATGGAGTTAAATGCAATTGAAATTATAATTTATGCAATATTTAATGCATCATTAAATAATCCATTAATTAACAATTAGCCGTGTTTGCTCGTCTATGTGCTTCCTCTGTCCATCCAACCGTTTGTCCGTCCGTTTGTCCGCTTGTTCGTGTAGATATTTGTGGCGGTGTTTTTCATCTAATGCACGTGCAATGGCTTACATAATAAAACAAATATTTACAGAATTGTGTTATTTAATCTGAATGTGTACAACAAAGTAATGCGTAATTTATATGCGTTTTTTACTGGGCTTGGCGAGAGTTGAGGGAAGATAGGGATGCAAAGCTTAAAACAATTGGCCAAACATCGAAGCCATTATCTATGCTATACACATTTCATGTTCAAGCTGTACTCTACTCTGTAATTGTAGCTAAAGTGTAATCAATTTTGCATTTAACTGCCGCTTGTTATCATCCTAAACATTGGGATTAGGCAGCAAATGAAAATGAAAAAGCTGCTGTAGCCTCGTCCTCTGCCAGCTGCCGATGTGGAGAAATAGCTTCCCAATATATACTGCAGACCCGAGGATGAGAGTGTAACTGCAATAGGAAATTGAATGCGTTTGCAAAACAAATGTGGAAGGTGTTTTAGTTCCAGTTTCAGTTACAGATTAAGTTTTGGTCTTCATTTCAGTTTGTGTTTGTTGTGGTTGTGGCTTACCTCTTGCCGGCACCGGATCCTTTTGCGGCGTGCCCAATTCAATTTCCTTGTACTCCTGATATAAATCACCAATTTGAGCCGTGCAGCGTAACATCAGGCCCCCGATACCGGGCAGCCCGGGCCCCAAAGCATTTGTCACGTGCGCATTGCTAGCTCGGTCATGAGCCTTGCCGTTGCCATTTCTATTGGCACTCGCGGCGGCCACAAAGTGCGCCGCCTGCAATTGCAATCGGAGGCTCAGCCTGGATGCTATTAGGTTATCAACCGTGCGAATGTATTGTGTTTCCTCTGTGGTTACCTGTCGAAGAGTGGGAAGTGAGTTAGACTGTTGTGAATGCTGAGTTAATTGCGAGCCCATCAGCAGACCACTTAGCTGCTGCCTCCATCTTTCGTGCAGAACTGACTAAATAACTAACTACCATATGCATATCAAATACGTAGGCCTTGAAGTATGTTTTAAATTATTCATAACCCTCCAGCTTGCTTCGCGTGTGTCTGCGCGTCTCAGTGTGTGTCCTGCTGAAACTGATTTTGCTTTCCGCTTCCGCTTGGCAAACTAAAAATATATTTGCCGAGTGCCGCAAAAAAGTTACTCTCCGATATGCGAGTACATCGTACGAATATGAATGGCAATTTGTCGTCTGTGGGGGTTATTATAAGCACGCTGCACTGGCGGCATCGGGGGACAGCAACGAGCAGTGGGAAACCGTGTGCTGAGTGCTGCGGGACGGTAGCAACTCCGACAAAAGCTGCTGGCAATGGCTAACAGCAACGGGCAACGGGCAATGGGCAATGGGCAATGGGCAACGGCGGCAACGGGACAACTTGCGCTGCAAGGAAGCGGATGCTGAGAATGAACGGACATGGCATGCCATATTTTTGTTTTTGTTGCTGCTTTTGGCTCTGCTTGCTGGCTTTTAAAAACAGTTTGCAATGTTACAACAGCAACAGTGGCAGCATAAAAATCAACAGAAACAGCAGCATCACTCATACGCCCTGTTGGGTCTTTTCGCCTCTGCAGATGTCCGACAGTTTGTTTGAGTGTCTGCTGTTCAAGGTTGTTTGTTTGCATGATATTGTTGTTGTTGTTGCCCACTGGTTGTTAACGCAACAGCAATGCAAACTGTTTACACTTAGCCTTTGAGTTACTGAGCCACTGCAACGGCAACGGCAACGGCAACGGTAACGGCAACGGCTCCAGCTACAGCTACAGCAACGGCAGCAGCAGCAACAATAGAGGCAACATTTACCATATGACTGTTCGTTTGTCTGTCTGCCTGCCGGTCATAGAGTTGCAATGTGTGTATTTAAAAAATTCATTTCCTTCATGACAGTAACAGCCACAGCAGCGCCCTAGTCTCGCGGTTCCTCTAAAGCCCAAGCTAAAGCCTCTGCTGAGGCATGTGCATGGGCTTGTCCGTTCATTTCTGCTTTTTGCTTAGCTTTCCGTTTCATTTGGCAGCGTTTCTCTCAGTGCTCGACAGGGGCACATCATTTCCGTTTGGTGCATCTTTACGCATAAGGCGAAAAGCAAATCCCGTTAACTGTATTGTGCACGGCTTTTAGCTGCAAACGGCCATTGTTGTTCTGTGGAGGAAGTGCAGGCGCCATTTTGCAAATGGTTGTTGTGCCATTTCCGCTCGCTGCATGTCCTGTCTGAAACGACGGCCTCGCGCCCCCAGCGCACCGCTGGCAATTTAAATACAATAAATACGCATTTCGTTTCCACTCACAAACTCATTTGAGCGCCATTTACTTATGCATGTATTTTCTGCTGTTTAGTGCCTTGAAAAGGTGTACGAAATTGAAGGCAACGTGCCCGCCCTGAATTAGGGTCCGTTGCCGAACGGCCATTGCTGATCGACTTCCAAATACCCTGTGTGTAGCAAACTAAACTCAAATCAGAAAACATTTAGTGCTCACGAGCAGCGCGAAGCAGCATTTCGACAGACTTTTGGTATCTCTTCTAAAAGCATATCCGAATAAGATAGTTGCTTTGGGCGTTGCCCATCCTCAAGCAGCAGCAGCTCGCACACCCACAACATTAAAAAGCAAAATCGCTTTATTGTTGTGCGTGTCGTTGTCGCTCTTGTTCTCGTTGTTGTTGTCGTTGTTGTTGTTTGCTGTGCGCCTTTAACCCTTTTTACAACAGCACCACCCACCCTACACGCACACATACACTCACATATACACTCACACCAGCACAAACATTTTATTTTCTGCTTGTACGTTTTTTGGCTTAACTTTATATTTGAATTTTATTTTTATTTTCATGCTGGCAAAGGCACAGCGACATAAAAAGCCATTTTTAGTTAACTCGCTTTTCTCCCACTCTCTCTCTTTCTCTTTCTGAACTCTCAGCTGTTTCGCTCGCTCGCTTTTGGGAATTTAATGCCGCGTAATTTACGAGAAACTCTTAAGACGGCAAGCGCTTTAATTAAGCATGTGGCTGAGGCAGCGACCCAAAAGTGTAAATACCCTCATATTTCTTGTGATTTACCTTTATGGCATCGGCACCCCCAGCCGAGGGCCTAAGAGCTATCTACCGAGCCAACCCCAAATACGTTCGGTTGGCCAATTAAATAAATGTTTGGCATTTGCTGGCGTAAACATTTTGCACTTGAATTGTTTTCGAGCCAAATTCACTTTTGCTCCAGCTGGCAACAAAAACTGTGCGTTTTCTGCTTGCATGGCAAAATTATGATGGCTGCCTATTAATATTTGCTCGGCCCATACAACGCGTTAATTTTCTCCCAAAATGTTTATGTTAATTATCTGAAAACGGCAAAACTAAGCACAGCCAAAAGTGCGCTCTTTGCCACTCGATTGCCATAATATTTGAGTAACTAATTAATGCCGCTTGCACTTGAATTATTCAAAGAAAATATCACGCACTTTGGAATAGGTCTTTAATATAGCCAAAGTTCCACCATTCGTTAACATGTGCTGTCGATTCATTAATCAAAGACACTTAAAGCTGTTGCTCGGCTTTAATTATGTGCTTATGGCATTTACACTAGTTCCAGTGCCAGCAACGCCCCAAATATCATCTGAAGTAAATAATTTATCAAATAATCGATTGGTCCACAAATCCCACTGTCGAATGGCCACTTGTCTGGCCGCCAAACTCTCTAAAAGTCTCGACAGCTCTAATCCCAACTAATTCCCATGATTCACCAAAAATTTCATTTTCAGCTACTTCTCCATTAATATGACAAAAACTTTTTAACAAATTATGTTAGTCGTTAAGCCGCCTGGCTGCCTTCGCCCGCTTTCCTTGCCGATGGGTCAACATGTGGCTCGGCTTGATGCTTTTTCTTTTCTCTTTGATTATGAATAAGAAGACAAAGCGAAAAATGAAAAGATAAAAAAAAAAAACAAAGCACGCGCTAATATTTAAAAGGAAAATGGCAAATCGTATTAAAATTATATTAATATCGGGCACATTAAAGCTTTAAGGAGATGAGTCGAAGCTTCGAAACTGGTTTTGTGACACGAAACTTTGCTTGTTCGTAGGTGGCTTTAAGCTGTCATTAGTTGTTTATGTATGGATGGCTTACAATAACAGACGCCCGAGGCTTTGCGTTCGATGCCATTTAAAGCGCTAGCAGCCAGATCATAATTCAATATCAGCGGAGCATCTATTCTGCAGGCATATGGGACTAAATGGCTTGGCCAATGCCAGCAGAATGAATGGAATTGTGTGTAGTTCGTGTTGTTGCTGCCTGTCTACGCTAACATAAACACCACAGACATAAAATTTTATATGGCACGCCGTGTCAGACAGACGGACAGTACGAGGCAACCCTCAATGCCAAAAGCACACATACCGGGACACAAACACACACATATGCACACTAACGTAGCGCACTTTTGTCTCGCTTTTTGTCATTAGTTGGTTGACTGAAAGTGGAAGGAAGCAAGTGGCATCTAGATAAAATGCTCAACGGCCTGCATGTGAGCGCGTATGTGTGTTCGGTTGTGTGTGCCTGTGTATGAGTCCCGAAAAGTAGACAACAGCTAGCGACAGATACAAAACGGCAGGATAAGACACACACAAATGAAGAGCGAGACGCCAGATCGGGAAGGATGCTACTGCCACTGCCACTGCCACTGCCACCAGTGCCACTGCCAGTGCACGTTATGTCTGATGATGTGGGTAGACATAATATAAAAATTTATGAAGCGTTTAATAAGTTTTCTTTTGCAGGCAGTTGGCGGGACAATGGGACAGACAGACGACAATCGAATGCTCGCTGCGTTCGCTCTTCTTGTGGGCGTGTCAGCTGAAAAGTGTTGTCTCGTAAATTCATTTAAAGGCAGCGTCCGACTCGTCCGACTCATCCGATTTGTTCGCCTCTGTCCGGGCAATTCCTGTGCAGAAGTTTAACGTAATTTATTTTATGTCGTGGCTATGATTAATAACAGCAATGCGACAAAGAAAAAGGTTAGCCGGCCCTGCGGTTAAAATGGGATACAAAAATATAAAGCATTTGCTTTTTAAAAAGCGATGGCACCGCCCTGGGTCTGGGTCTTGGGCCGGGGCCTGGGCCTGGGCCTGGACATGCTCACATTTCATTGTTGATTTATGCAACTGATTAGCGCCGAGTCTCAAAATTGATGCAAACATGAAAATGCCGCCAAATGACTAATGATGTCCTCTCAGGCAGTTCGCATGCATATGACTTGGATTGTGTGACCCAAGTGACTTGTTTGCTTTCGTTTCTGCTTTCTGCTTTCTGTTTTCCATTTTCCATTTTCCATTCCCATTTCCATTTGGCATTTGCCATTTGGCATTTTCATTTGCCTTCTTCCGTAATGATAAATGACAGAGGCGAATCGCACAATCAAATCAAAGCGCGTAACCCTTTTCTACGTTTATTGACTTAGTCCTATAAGTATCTTGTATGTCTGTGTGTGCAGGATCTTCTTATTTAGCTTTGAGCCAAAAATTTTAATTAACTAAGCTTTCATATTCATAAATAAACGACAAATTTCATGGCGCATATCGCTTGAGCTTCAACAGAAGCTGCCGCGCCATCTCAGCGGCGTATCACGCGTGCTGGAAACGAGTTTAAGGCTCAGCAAGTGGCTTTTCTAATTATAAAGGATTTACGCTCCCATTTGCGAAGCCAACGCCATTTAATTAGGCGCAGCCCCAGACTTCTGCTTTATCATACAAATAATTCATGACAATATGCTGCCATAAACCGGAGGCAAAGAGATTGGACGGCGAGTGCTGCGGTTCAGTTTCGGAAATTATTGTCATGCCAACAGCAAGTCGCAAGTATTATACAATTGCACTTACCGGGATGTGGTTAATGGTGAAACGTAGCTCGGCGCGTGGTCTCGACGGCAACGTGCTGCAGTTGGCGCGCAAGACATCGCCGGGCTCATAGCGTGTCTGCTCTGTAAATAACTGAGGTCGTTTTTCTGGGAATTCTGTAAGATATGCAGAGAATAAGGCAGTTATTGGGTTATTTTTAACAGTACTGCCTCTTTGATGTACTTAAAACCAGACCTAAATTAAAGGTATAGCATTATTTGCATTATAACACATCTGAAATGAGTGCGAAATACAGATAAGAGACGTCGAGGTCTCTTTAGTTGCTGCACAGGTCGGACGCTTAAGCATGATAAGACAGTCGCTGTTGGAGGCTGCTTGTCAAGGCATGGTGGGGCGAGAGGGTCGGCAAGCTTAAACGTATATTTGCTGGACTCACCCACAACTTGCATATGTGCATAAGCGGTGGCTGTCGAGTAGAGCGGTGCATCGGCGGTCACTTCGCAGCTGAAATTGCCAGAGAGACCGAAGCTGACATTCCGTATGAACACCAGGGTTGCATTCGAACTGTGTTCCTGTAAGTATATCAGTGCCTAATTGTATTGCCCAGATGAGAGAGAGGGAAAATGAGAAGACAACTTACGTCCACTTTGATGCCGGGGTATTGAAAGACCTTCGTGTGGGGATACTCGCCAGGCGTGAAGCGGTAAAACTCCAACTGGCCACGATAAAACTTAATCGAATAGAGCGGTGCCCCATCCAGCTGATACTCGCAGCGCAGCACCACCGACTGGCCGCGACGCACTGCCGGCGGCTCTACGAGCAGGTTGACATTGCGCAGCGTCGCCTGGGCGGCATCTGGAAAGGAGCGAGAGGACAAGCTTTATGAGATTTATTATTCAAATTGATGCAGCGTGCATGAGTGTGCCATAGCCGAGGACAGCAGGAGACAGGCAATCGGCACCCCGTTAGCCGGCAGTCATGCTATCAGAGGTGAAGCCCACAAAACCGCCAGTTGCCAGGGCGAGTCCTGCCCTGCGTCGCCCTACGGAGTGAGCAAGATTGTGCCTGCTTGTGCTACGTGGCAGCAATTTGCATACACGGCAGGGGCAGTAAAACAATATTGATACGACGCGCCGTTTGTCCATTCGACGACCAGCGGCTTCATCCATCTCAACCACAACATCGTCATCGCTCTGCTTTTTATGGGCATTGCGCTGCATAAAATGCACGGATTAAAATATATTCTGCTATTCACGAAGGCAGGCGGTGCCGCGTGACTGCACCTGCAACACGCAGTTGCCTTGTGGCAAGCTTTTGGGCCCAGCACTTAAAGTCACGCAGATGGCTTAAAGTGCTATATGCTTGCCATCTAAGAGGAACAGCAGCAATCAATGACGGCTTCGACACGCATGCACGGCCAACTTGTTTGACTACATCAAAAAGCAATTTTCCATTTGTCTTACAATCTTTTTTACACACACACGTGTGTGTGTAAAGTGTGTTTGGCTTTTCATAAACTCGCAAATCGTTTAAGCCATCTTGCGAGAAGTTATAAACCTCTTTGCATGTTTCTTTTTCTCTTCCATTTTGTATTATTTTTTCCGCTTCTTTTTCTTGCTGTTTTTTCTATCGCATTTGCTCTTATCATTGTTTCACCCTTTGCCTGTTCTCTCCAGTCAGTTTTTCTTGGCCTTTTTCCCTGCTCATATGGAGGGTATTTCAAACTTGTCGTTAATCCCACGACATCTTTGAAATCTGGTATTATCATGTCGACAAAAAGGTCGAAAATCTCCGCTAAATATTTATATAATTTTTCTGTTTCAATTATGAATGAAATGTTTGCTTGAAGTCGCTGTAATAACTCTTAAATTATCTTCAACAAATGCTGAATATTTGTATTACTTTAGGGCATTCAGACGTCGGATTCTGTGCATATTTCCAGATATTTGTTCTTCGGTCCTTGCTTTTGTCTCTAACTGAAATCTTGATAGCAACGTAAAATGGACTGAGGGTTGGCCGGACTAAGAGATGGCTACAATTTCATCATAGTCCTGTCACCCTCCATCCATGTTACCGCCCCCGTTCTCATCTTTGGGCTTGAGCGTGCTGGAGTTGCTGCTCCATACTCGTGGACATTCTTCTGATGGCTGACAGTGGCTCGCTTTTTTAGCATTTGGCATTTGTCGTTGCTCCATTTCTTCCTGATTCCAAGGCCTAGTCGGCTTTGGAAATTAGTTCGGGATTAGCTTTATAGCCATGTGTATTGCATCTAGTGGCTTTGCCAGATGGCAATATACTCCTAAACCATCCTAAACCTGACAAAGTGGTGATGAATTCTCTTTCTACCATTTGCAATCACAGCCATTCTCGATTTGTTCTAGTTCGATAAATGGAAATCAGATCATTTAGTTGCTAGCTATTTAAGAGTGCCTGATGGGTTTTCATGGCAACATGGTATACGGTAAACCTATTACGGTTGATTTAGTCAACGAAATGGCTTTCGATTTACGCAGCATGTTAAATGCAAGTTTGGCGAAGAGACAGTGAAATATGTGCAGCTGGGATCATAAAACGTTTATTGACTGCACAATTCAATATATCTTGCATTCAATATTATGACAATATGCCCCACCCCCAAACCTTTCAGCTGGCAACCATACATTCAGGCCCTTCAACTTTGGCTGCTGAGCTCACAGATTTAGTTGCAAATATGCGCGGGATGAGGCGAGTGTGGGGAAGCTGGGCAGACAGCAGCAACTGCTGGGCAGGCAGACTGCAGCTAGACAAACTTTTGCAGACACACACGCGGCCATTCAGTGTTGCAAGTGCAAGCCGTGTGATGAACTCACTTGTGATAATTTATGAGTAATATTTTTGTACTCAGAGACAGAGACAGACAGTCAGCGGCGGAGAGAGATAGAGAGTGAGTAGAGTTGAGTAAATGCTGTTCAACTAGCAAACTAATTTAACTTATTGTCTGCAGCAAAGCCTGACTCCCGCCTGGTGGCAAGCATTGTCCTTGCAACGCGTCTGCCAGCTGCTTATCCCATTTTTACTCTCTGTGGCATGATGCACAAAATTTTTTTTAAAAATATCCTTGCTCATTTTACAGCGCAGCAGTGGGCTGACGTCGCTGAACGTTAAGCTTATGGCTTAAATGTTTCATGCTTTTTGCACTCGCTTACAAAAAGTAAAAAAAAGGATATTGGCTTTGTTCGATTTCCGTCCTGCTATTCAAGAGTCTATATGTATTAAGTGTTTTTTCGTTATTTTAAGTATTATTAAACAGCCTTACAGCTAAGAGATAAAATTGATTTAATATTGCAGGTGGATCACTGTTGCACTCCGTTATAGGTAGCCATATAAGACATGTTCTCATTAGTCGTTGCCAAATCCAAAAATATTACATTTTCAATAACTAATAACTGTTTAACTGTTTTTGAAGCCTTAACAAGTATTTTGCAGTCAGCCGCATCCGGCTTCGACGTGCGTACATATTTCTGTTTTGTGTTTCCATTATTTTTGCTTCCAGTTCAGCAAGGCACTCGTAAGTTTTTTAATTTTCCTACTGCGTTTCACTTCTCATATTGCTGTCAATTATTTCAGCATAAAATCCAATAAAATGCTGGCATTAAAGCTTAACATTTTTCACACATGAATTCTTCACGTAATTACGCGTGTTCAACAATAAACAAGTTGAGTAAAATGAAATTGTTGACTCGCACACACGAACCCAGAACCACTGAGTTTACCCAGCGGCTGTAATTAATTTTGACGGCTCTCTGCGATAATTAACGCAATATTATTGTCTAAAACAAATTGCAAAAATAGCGAACAACTTTGGCATGCAGCGCCGTACCGAGCCGCTCCGAGTCGACCCGAACCGCCCTGCCCGGCTCCCTGGCGCTCAGAGTAAAGAATGTGAATAATTATTTAGCATAATGCATAACCATGGCAAATAATATATGTATTTGCATATCAACTGCGAATGAGCAAAGCCAGAAAATTGTTTGCATAATTTGTGAACAGCAAAATTTGAGTTGAATTCTCATTACAAATTGCAATTTCGACCGCACGACGAAGAGGACTCAGAGCTGGCCATGGCACTTTTTGGACAAATTGGCACTGTTACAGTTCTGAAAAGTTGCTGACACATTTCAACTGACCAGAATAGAGAGAGCGAGAGATAGAAAGAAAGAGATAGAGAGAGAGCAACAGAGAGAGAGAGACAGAGAGATGGATTGAAGTGGAGATAGCGGATTAGAGCCAGACAGAGCTAGAGCGATATAATTATGTGTTGAATTATGAATTGAAATATTCAAAAGTTTTTTTTATAGTTTCTCTGTGTTCGCATAACTTGGTCATTCAAATAACATTTTTGGCCAACATTTATTGCTAATGCCAACTAGTTGAGTGTCTGTCTATGTGTTTGTGAATGAGTGTGGTTAAGCTTATGAGCTGACTGCGTTTTACGATATGTTAATGTCCTTAAAATGTTGGACAATTTATGCCTTTTAAATGGCTAAAATAAGTGTGTTGATGTGTGTGTGTGCGCGCATGACCGATAGCTTAAAATATGAACAACAGCAATAGCTTAGGACTTAATCTCTGCATATGAAACCATAAAAATATTCAACTTCACTCAAATTTTATTCATTTATTGTTTACCCTGAACCCAATTCAGAGTATGATGATTTTGTAAAAATGTATATAGTAGGCAGAATTAGGCGTGTCATACAGCATAGTTGACTAGGACAACAAGCTGCGTTTATCTGTATGTCTATCCGTCTGCCCGTCTTTATGAACGCAACGATCTTATAAGCCACAAAAGCTAGTGAGTTTAAATGATTAATTATTAATAAGTTTATAATTTTTGTAGACAACTTTCATAATTATCGATAAGTATCGATAAAGCACAGCTTGGATACTGCGAAAGCTGGCGACTTCAGATCTCCCGTGAAGATTCCCGTATTTGCTTAGGCAAATACAAAATTATGATTATTCGAATATTTGATGATGAATTGAGTTTCAAACACTTAAGTGTACGAGTGTAAGTGTGTACATGTGTTGCTTGCAATGGATGTTGCAAAGTTTATCGTCTCAGTGTATATTCCACTTGATTTGTATTTTTGTAGAATGTTCGACTTGAATTTCCCATTGCAAATTCATATGCAAATTTTTGTATTGCATCAAAGCTGGATTTTTATTGAAGTCAAGTGAAAAAATAAAAATGCCAGCCCAAACAATTGTCAAACGGGACAAAGGCGAGAGTCTCAGCCTCCTGAAATAGTCCGTCAGTAACTATGGCTACATACACATAGACGCCGCCAGTGGGTGCCCTTTTAATTTGTTTGTTATCAATTCGGCAATATAGGATTGCATTGTGTATTATTTGCGAACAGCAACAATTTAAAATCAAAAAACTGTTACTTGGTTACTTGAATGATTTGAATTCGTTTGTCGATTGCTTCGAGAGCGAACAATAAATTGAAAAATGCTTTAGACTCGCCAGGCATTCAATGTTATTCTCTACAAGTTTTCATACAATTTGAAATCTTTATAAATGTACCGATTGTTAAAACCGTGATTTTATTTTCAGACAATTTGCAATATTTGCATACTCCATTCTGAGCAGCTTGCAGAAATCATATCGTAAATTGATTGTTGAATAAGCAAATAATGTTCCGCAAAAGAGGTTGGTTTAGATTTGGATAAGCTGAAGGATAAGCTTGAAATTGAACTCGAATATATATTGTAATTAAATGTGAAAAGTGATTTACGCCCTGACCAATTCGTGAGCGTTGTTTTTAATTTTTTTTTATTGAGTTCGTGTGGGCTATGGGCGGAGTGGGCTTTATGTTTCGCTTAAATAAATTCCAGCAAAATGTGTGTAATTAATGCGCCAAACCGAACCAAAAGCGCGCTATATAAATCATTTGCGGCCTGCCTTTGTGTGCGTGCATGTGTGAGTATCTGCGAACGTTTGCGGTCAGCCTCATGTTACACGCACAATCAGTCGCCTTTCGTTGTTATCGACTGGCGCCATTGATTGCAGTTCATTAAGCACGCGCAGGCGGACAGGCTCACGCACATGGCTGGCCCATGGCAAACTCCTGCTGGCAACTGGCGGATGGCCACACCTGCTGCTGGGGCTGGCGTTGGCGCTGGCACTCATTAGCTACGCATTGCCCGACCCACAGCTGCCAATCGCTTAACGTGCTGCTTGACCCTTTTGGGTGCCTTTAACGGATGCTGCGCTTTAACCTTTTTCGTTCGTTCTTAATTTTGCACTGGGCCACATTTGCTACACTTTCACTACACTTTCCCTGGGCTTTCCTCGTTACTCGTTAGCATCTTGCTGTGGCGCTGGCCATTACTGTTGATTGCTTATTCATGCGTTCATCCATTTATTCATATGCCTGTAAGTCTGTGATGAAAGGACCTTATCAAAATGTGGGTATTCGTTGTCAGCTTTGCCGATTAAGTTCAGGAAATACGTTGGCTCCGCTTGAAATTGCGAGTGCTGCTGCTGTTGCGAAAATTAATTGCGACTGCGTTGTATTTCGTGTTTATATTTTAAATTAATTATAAATATTTATTTATCTTGATTAGTTGGGAGGCTTATGGAAACTGGGGCGGGGGCTGGGGCTGGTGCTGGTGCTTGAGTGTCTGGTTGAGCTTAACTAAATTGATTTCAGTTTATTTTAGCATAGCGCAGCGTTTTCACCCTGGGCATGCCTGGCAAATCAATAACAAAGACTTGGCTTTAAACGTCGCTGCGCTGCCTGCGGCAATAGGACCTCAATTGGTTTTGGCTTGGCCATTACTCTTCGCCGCTGTGGCTGCTCCGCGCTAACCGAATTCGATTCATTCATTCTACATTTCTTCTTCATCCTTCTGCGCTCTTCTATAATTGATTGCAGCATCAATTTCAGAACGAAATAATCAAGCAATGCGCACACATACTCGCACACACCAACCAACCTGATTTGGCATGTTTCTCGCTTTTTTTGTTGCATACTTTCGTGCGCTGGAGTTAATTTCTGTTTTAAGTTGCAGCAGAAGCAAAAAGCCAACTGCAGCTGCAAAATCAAGGAAAATTATTGAAAGCAGCAAAGCAAACGGTGAAAAACGTACACTCACACACATGCACGCCCACACACACTCGCACACACACACATACAAAAATGAAAAACACACGTCAATTTGTATTACTGCTGTCTCAGCTGTGCTTTCATCTCGCTCTCTTGCTGCGCTTCACTCCTTCCTTCCCTCTGTCTCTTTCTCTCAATCTCTTTCTCTCTTTCTCTCTCTTTTTACTAGCATCTGAGTTTTGCCACTGCTCGTTTTATATTTTTCTATTTCTTGGCACTATTTTCAAACGTTTTTCCTTTCACATTATCCATTTACCCATACTCTACTTCTACGAATAGCGCAAGGTTTAAACACTTTTTGTTACAGCTGCCCCAATACCCTTTCAAATGAGAAAGTTGAGCTGTAAAATGTTTGAACTAATATTATATGATTCCAATTCTGTAAATTATTGTTATAAATTACATAAATCGCAAAGATATTTCACAATTTCAATTTTTTCTGTACATATTTTTTACATAGAGTATTTAATTGTCGAGCTGCAGCGACGTGCTTTTTGGGTTATTTGTTGTGGAGCTGTTTGAGTCGACCCCGAACCACAGACAAAATCGTTTGTGGCCGTCAATTGTGAGCGCGTTCGTTGCATTTATTTGGTGCCGGACTCTCATGTCGCGTCCTGTCGTCATTTTTTGCCTCTTTTTTTTTTTGGCTAAAACCACACAAAAATCTGCACAAAAATGCACGGAAATTCATCTTGATTTGTGTTGGGAAGTTTTTAATGCAGCAGCCGCTTTTTAAGCTTGTTTTCTTTATAGTGTATGTATTTTTTGTTGGCCCCTCTATATCACCTGACTGGGCAAACGCGCACTAAATCAGAGACATTTGGCGCATTTTGCTAAAAAGTCACTTACGGCCTTTGGCCATAGCTCATTTGCTGCCTGTTGTTGTACTTACCACATAAGATGCACAGGAACAACAGCCAGTGCAGGATGCTGGTTGCAATGCTGTTGTTGGACTGGAGGCAGCGACACCTACGTGCGCATTTTATTACTCCAGTTGCTGTTGTTGTCATCGTCGTCCTCCTCATCTTTGCTGTTGTTGTTGTTGCTGCTGTTGTCGCTGACGTCGTGGTGGCTGCTAATGTTGATGGCAACATGGTGGCCGCTTTGGTGCTGCTGCTGTTCGGTCTGTGACTTTGCATTTCCGTGTTGCTGCCGCTAATGTTGGGGCGTTGCTTTGACCTGATGCGACGCGCGAGCTGACACTTACACCCCGATGCATGTGCGAGTGCCGTGGGGAGCGTTGTGAGTGATGCGGATAGCGTTGATAGCGTCTGCCACATTGTCAACGAGTTGCGTTTTTTGCACACTTTGCGAGCGTTTGTCACTGGCCGTGCCCCGCACTTATCGCCTGACATTAATTAAGTGTGAAATTAATGAAGCGGCAGAGATGTGCAGCGCGTAGCGGGTAGCTGACGAGCGAGTTAATTAATTTGGCACCCCGTTAGCCAGATTTGGCTTAATTTGGCGCTTTGCTAGAGCTTATGCTGATGACACTCTGTTCTGGTCTAGCATATATTGGGGCGAATTATTATAAATGATTAGCTACACAAGTAATTTTGAGTAACTTCATTTATTTATTATGAGACTTAGCTCTAGGTCTTTTATTTCATTTTTCATTTGCGAACTTTGTGTTTTTTCTATCATTATATATACGCTAATATATATATATATATATTTTTTTTTTTAATTTTATTTTTCATTTAAGTTTCATTATTGTAATGTACGCGATTTTCTACTAAGTTTATATTTACAATTATTGTTTACGTAGTTTCAGCCATCAGCTTTCGTGTTTAACACAAACGAATATTCTTGCTTCACGTAGTTTGTCTGCCTTTAATACGTCATTCTGCTTGGTCGCTGCCGCAGCGAAGACACAACGAACGCCTCACACAACCGAAAGAGGCAGATACGCAGCCGACAGAGATACGAATGCGACTAAACACGCACGAAGTGTTGGCGGGCATGTTGTTATTGCCATCGCTGCCTAGCAATAATTTGGAAATGTTGCTGCTAGTGCCATGGCTTGGCAACATGTTGATATCGCTGCATATGTATGTATGTTGCTAAGTTCTTTAGTCTTGTGTTGCGCAGAGTGTGTCGTGGCTGCTCGTTAGTTTTTCTTATGTTTCGGCTTTTCTTCCGCGAAAATATTTGTTGGTTGACATTTATAGGCGATTTTAGTGTTGCGTCTAATTGCTTCATGTGGCAGACACACTTGTCCGCGCACACTCACTTCCACATACACCCGACATACAAAGTTTTCTAATGGTCTGCGCTGCAATTAGCTGAAAAGAGATAGACAAATAATGTTTCAATTAGTTGTTGACAAAGCAGCGCAGTGCAGAATATATATATATTAATTTTATTGCATGCCGTTAAGCGCAGCCAAGTTCTAAATAAATAATTTATGACCAGGCAAGTGCGGCCCTTGCCCCACAATTACCCCGCAAACAATTGCATTTCAGCAGCGATCACGTGCCACTATTTCCCGTCTGATTTATGGTACTCAACGGGCCACTCTGATAAGCATTTGCGTTGACCTTAGCGGAGTGAGTTTCATTCAAATGCCGACATATAAGCGTGTATTGTATGTGTTGAAATGCTTTGTGTGTGTGTGCTTATATTGCTGGCTAATTGACCAACAATCACACACTCTTGGCTTGAGCCCAATAGTAAAGCCTTTAATTGCTGCTGCCAATGGATTTTGGAATTTACCCTGTTTCATTATTTATGGCATCCCGCGGCTGCTTAATTATGCGCTACAATTCCGGAAATGCACATTTTGAAATCCTTTAATCTCCGCATCTTCCTCATCTGCCCGTCGGCATCACAGCTACAAATTGTTGTTGTCTTTATCCCCCTGATGTTGTCAGCCCAACCCGTTGTACTCCATTTGGTATTCTAATGGGCGCTTAATGCAGCACAGAGGCGTGGCTGCGCCCATCTAAATTGCCATTATGCGCGCACAAGTCGCATAGACAATAGCTCAACATCGGGATAACTGTTAATCATGTGGAGAAAGGGTATAGGAATTGTATATTGTCTGTGTCTCTAGTTTGTTGTAGAATGTATTCGGGTCTTTCGCATCTACTTAAACTACTGACCAGATACTTGGATTATACGTTTAGTCGGATCAATGTGTAAAGATGTAGATGTGCTTAGCTCATATATAATTCATATTAAACGTTAAATGCGCTCAACTGGGGATAATTAGAATAGATCTAGAATGTCAAACTAGTCATACACAGATATATACTCATATGTTCATTAAGTCTGTTTAAATACGTCATAAGACGCATTATGATAAATCGTTCTATAATGGAATAACGATATGCCATAATAACTTTTTATCTAGTAGCAGGAATTAACGGGCTCCGTCGAAAAAATCAAACAAAATTTAATTTAATACTATTAACGCTTTACGCTTGTTGATATGTTTAAATGTGGTTTATTCATTTAATAATATAACTCTATACTTAATATTTTCTTTAACTCAATTCAACAATAAATATTATTCATTTCATATTCAGAAATATAATGCCCAGGCTCGTCTCCAAGTTAGAGCATCGCATAGTTGTGGAATCCCAAGCAGGCTTATTAAAATTGTTGTGGCTGTAACTTGCGCATTGCCAAAGCAGCAGAATTTCGCATTATGCCTCTTGATGTGGCTGCAGCCTAGTTTAACCTCGCGATTGGCTGCGGCAGAGTCAGAAATCACTTCCGTCAACTATCAAAGGCTTGTTGGCGAGCGGAAGGGTGCTTCGGAATCGGCTGCTGCACTTCACACATCGCTTCGTAGGCTCAGCATTTATTATGCCATTTGTGTGGGACCGAATTGTCACAATTACTCGACAATGCACGTCGACCAAAAGGCACAAGCAGTCGAGGAAGGGGCGGGGGTGTGGGCTGCTCACATCTATATTTAGTCAAAGGCAGCCTCGATGGCCCCTGCTCGTTGGCCCCTGTTCTCGGTGATGTTCCATTGTCATTGGCAGGCCTTCGTGCAGCTTCATTTATCAAATTTTGTCATGCTGTGTACTCCCTCTCGAAATTTGTTTCAATCTTTTGTGTTGTTGCATTTTATTAATTTGTTTGTCATATTTTTACGTTTGTTTATTGATTAAAATGTGCACCCAGACGTATGTACAGCGGAATGTTTGGTCGGTTCCGTGGCACTGTCTGTTGCCAGCAGCTGTTGCTGTTGCTGTTGCTGCTGCTATTGCTGCTGCTATTGTTGTTGTTGTGCGGTCACATAGTATTGCTACTGTAAACATGTGTTTGCAGCAACATTATTGTTGCCCCTCTTCGCTTGCAAACATTATTTTTGCTGTCAGCATAAGAGACATACACATGTACTGTGCGTATATTTGTATAATATTGATACTGTGTTTGTCTGCCATTATTATTAAAACAACGTTTTTAAAATTATTTCTGAGCCGCAACCTCCATTAAATCTGATTTATTTCTACCTTTGTGTTATACAAACAAGCGGTCAACCCCTGCGCCTACCTTTCCTGCTTGTTTGGACAAATTATTATGAAAGACAATTTTGTCAGGCGCATTTTTCATATAATTTCGTTCGTCCTGTTTTTGTTATTTGGCTTTACTTGTGTTTTTTGTGGGCGTTTGGGCTTGCTTTATGGATTTTATAATTAATTGTCTTTGACATATTTTACACTGCTGATATTTTTTGCGGTCAAAGGCGAACTTGTTTCATAGCTTGATTGATTTTCTTAATATTTTACCATCAATCATTATCGTTTGCCGACGAGGATGCAGCTCAATGGAATTATTATCTGGCCATATATTTATGAGAAATTGATTCGTAATATTTTGATATATCTGAGCGGTACATCAAAAATAGCTTATCAATTAAATTTACATTTTATGCTTAAAAAGGCAAATAAACTTACCTTACTCCTTATTCATGAAGTGAAAAATATTTTGTTGACTTCTGCAATATCAAGACGAGGGAAAGATAGGGAAATAGAAAAAATCAGGCAAAACTGTGGATGCTGTTCAATTAAGTGATAAATGCAAATATTTTAGAACGCATGTTAGCGTATTACGTATTACGTATAACGTATTAACGTATTACTTATTAGTTAAGAAACAGCATCATGTACTTCTCAGATAATTAACAAAATTCAGTGCTTCATAAAAATAGAAGTTCTTGTTTTTCAACTTTCCATTTGGCTTATGGCAGCACTACTATTTTCATCAACACAACTGTGTGTATGCAACGTGGGGGTGCATAGGGATTGTTTATTGTGCATTGTTTATTGTATGCAATGGGCACTAGCAGCATTATGTGAGCAAGTTTATTTGTTTTTGCAATCGTCCCTTGGGTATTGTGATGTTAGTGGGCTTAATGGAATGCTCCCACACATAGTTTATTCCTTCTCCTGACCGTCATCCACATATATATGCTCATTGTCATTCATTTCGTGTCATTGTCAGTGATAACATTTGTATTGTAATTGGCATCGCACCCAGGCCAGGGCTCACCTCCTGACGATGCCTGCAATATTTTTGGCAAGGCAAGGAATGAATGGCTCTTATGTGGCCGCAATGCCACAAGCAATAAAAAGCAGGCCAAGTCAAGGCAGGCAAAACAAATGGCAATTAGTCGGCTCGGCGCAGCGCGGCGCGGCGCGGCACGACTCGACTCGGGTCGAGTTGACTTAAGTTGCGTCTGACTTCGGGGAGAAAAGGCACAAGTAAAAGCTGCTTAGAGCTTTGTTCTTTGCTTTTAATTAAAAGCAGATTAACATTGCGCGTGTAATGTATTTGGGCGGTAGAAAGCAACGCGGCCCCGACCCCAAAAGCTGGTCCATAAACAAATTATTGCCAAGCCCCGTCATGGAGACATTGACAGTGACTGTCGTTGCAAAGGGGAGTGGCTGCGTCTAACTGGCTCAGACAATTGCCGCAATGAAGCCAACGTCTTTTTAAGTGATCCCCCATCCCAAAGGCCCTCTTGCCTGACTGCCTTGTCTTTCCAGCTCTCTAGTCATGTGTTGTGTTCCACAATAAAAGAGACTTTTTATGTACGAGTGCAGCTTATTACGCTCCTTGCCTTTGCCTTGCTAAGCTTCATTGTGCTTCGGGCGCTGGTGTTGGTGGTGCGTCTGCTAGTTACTCGCTACATCAGTCACCGCTCACTTGACACATTTCGCCTGCCATGCAATTGGCACGAAGATGTTCCCGTCACATGCTCATAAAATCAGCGAGAAGCCAGCCGGTGTGGAGCCCACTGCAGAAGGCGACATCTAAAAATATCCACAAGTTTTTCACACCAAATTGCCACAGCAGTGTTGGCAGCAAATTGAAATGTTTATTTCAAAGTGTTTGGCTCGTGCGTTTACGAGCAGCCGCTGCAGCGGTTGCCAGGTAAGCCACGCCGAGAACCCCTCCGACTTACTTAGTGCGATTGTCATAAATCTGTCGCGGCAGATCGCGCCCAAATTTGTGGGTTAAGCTGTCGGTTCGAGCATCAATTTAATTGCCTGCTGCTGGCAATGTTCGCACCACGTCAAAAACTTGCACATCAGCTTAATTACCACACGTGTTGCCCCGTGTTGCCCCTACGTTCGTCCGGCGAGGCAGCGCGAACAGG